CTTTGATCCTGTTAAGAACTGAAAACTGACTAATGTCGGTAGGCTGATGGGGACCAATCGGAAGGACTTGGCTTCAGCTTATGTGCTGCACCCTTGCAATTATCCATCGGGTGTCCTTAAATTTCGGACAGGTGAAGACTAGTCCTAACAAGTACCTCTCAGCAAACTACTGATTGGAACCGAAGGATAAGTTGAGTGTCAGGCCAAGGGGTCAGGAACCGAGAGTGGGTGAGCACATGTGAAGGCGGATAGCGGGATACTTAGTTATGAGACTTCTAGAGGTGTAAGAGGGTATTCTGAGTTGATATTCTGATTGCCTAGTAACTACAACTACAACAGGTTCATATACAAGTATTCAGCATCTAGAAAATACTAATTAGGAGAAGAGTGGAAAATGGTATTGACAAATAAGCTTGACTAGGAACAGGAAGGTTACAATTAGTTCGGAGGCCGTGAAATAACCGAGAGCAGGATTACGAGAAAAGAAAATAGTCTGAGGGTTATAAGTATATATAGACATATGTGAAACATAGAGTAGAACAGATCATCATAATAAAAGAAGACTGTCATGAATCAAATTTTACTCAATAAAGTCGAATAGACAATCGAAGAATATTCAACAATATCGAATAAAGATGCCTCATTTGACGAAGTATTAATTCGTTCTGTTGATAAAGCATGAGGCAAAGATAGGACACAGAGGCTCATGAATAAATAAGTCAAAGAAAGGCTCGGAAAAAGTTTGACGATTATGTAATACAGTAATAATATAATATAATACAGGTTTTCTGACTGACTTCCTTCATTCCTATCATTGCCTTATATACTATATATCATTTACCTATGATGATAATATGATATCAAAGTGAAATCATCAATGACATCAACCTGAGACAAGTCGAAGATATTCGAGATTGTTGAAGATATTGTCAAAGAATAGTCAAATTGGAAGTCAAGTCGGAAGTTGAGTCGGAAAGTCGAAGAAATGTCGAAGAAATGTCGAAGAAATGTTGAAGAAATGTCGAAGAAATGTCGAAGAAATGTCGAAGAAATATTAAATTGAATATTATTAAAATTTGAGTTTGTACGTTCATGACAGGGACGTATCAGAGTTTAACCAGATAGTATGAATATATTTTGATGGGGGCGTAAACAGAGTTTGATCACCGCGAAAGCATACATCAGCATCAGGAGACTGACAGTTTCCGATATGATGACTTGAACAATGACTTGAATCGTCAATAGGTGGTGATAACCTTGGGGACCGTCGGGTTGCGACACAGTTGTAACAGATCCATCAAATTCAACTCAACAAACCCAAACATTATTTGACAAGATTAAATCTCTTTCGACATGTCTTATTTCAACACCACGAATGATTTCATTATTAGTTCATAATATAGTCATAACGATATGAAGAAAAACATAAAAGGGCCATGAAAGGAGCAAGGGAAGTCAGTCGAAATATCTGTAAATTAGTGATACTAGTAATCTAACTTGTCATAACTTCTTCAACAAATACTTCTGTGAGTTCTCATGACTGGTAATAGCCTCTTACTTCATCAACAGGGCGAATATATACTTCGTCAAACAAGGCTTTCGAGTTCAATCAGTAGAATATTATTCGACTTTATTGAAGAATAATCGATTCGTGACACTACCCCATCATTGAAAAAGGAGAAGTCTACTGTGAAATCTAAGACTTCCACTTTGACTACCACTGCAAAACCTCCACCCTTGCAGTTCTCTCCAGACACAAGTAAGCAGCTGACTCCATCGAAAACTCCTGTCTACTCCCATGGCCAATCCTATATGCCCAAGGGTTTGCCTACCACAACCCCGGCTCAGTCCCTTAGCAACGACATTTATATGCCATCTGCTCCTGCTACCGCTACCAGTTCACCTTCTGTGGGCTCCTCTAATGTGGGCTCACCAATGCAGTCTATTGGTATGACCCATACCAGGCAGTGAAACATCGCAAGAAGGTGTGGATCTCCCTCCAATCCATTTGGCAAGTGGACACCACAGACTCCTCCCACCCCTGGTGGGAAGTGACCACCTAGTTCATCGAGACGATGAACAATAAAGGGGGGGTGATGTAAGGGTACGTGTTGTGGATGCATACCCTGCTTACCTAGCTATCTGACACCCACGAGACCAGTAGCATAGCATGCACTTCCTAAATATTGTTCCACTCACCTGATTAGTAGTTTAGAGTTCAACTATTATTGATACTTCTGATCACCATCAATGAATGTTATCCATTGATCTGTGATTCAGGCTCCAGCCTTACAATAGTGGATTGCTATACTTAGTGTACCCTATGCCCTAGTGGCTATATAGGAGTAGCTAGCTCATGTACTTTTGCTAGCTTGTTATCACCTAGGCTTTCTGGCTATACCTTCATCTGAGAGTGATCTCAATCCCTGACAGGTTGTACTAGTTGGGAGGTCTGACTCTATAAATGTAGTGGAGCTTGGCTTCAACTTATATGTTGCACCCTTGCATGAACTGTTAGGATGCTCCAATATTTCAAACAGAGTGGATAGTATGATATGACAAAGATCAATCCTTAGCTCAATCAACTGGAGGGCTGAATTACTAAGAGTTGTACAATTGAGACAAAACAAGCATAAGCAATCTTTGGACCTCCACACAGGCTAAGGGTTGCATTGGATCCCCCTGTGCAGCTGAGGAATTTCATCTCAATGCATCTGCTCTTTCCAATCTAAATTCTCCTGTTGTTAGGCACTTTCAGCAGTCGGCTCATTGAATCCTCAGGTGCTTTACCATTACACTGTCATATGGAGTTTCTGAATTTAGATAACATTGACAGTACTGTTGTCATGGATAAGCTTTACAATGTATGTTTCATTACTGTACATCCTTATTTCATACAAGATTTCATCGTGTACAGGCATTAGAGGATGGCAATGCTATTTTTTTATTTCCTGAAGGAATGAGTCGCTACTTACCTGCTCTTTCACCCCTTGAGACAGGAGCTACTCGAATAATCTCTGAAACCCTTACTTGATGTCGAGATGATCCAAATTATGAGATCACCCTTTGACCTGTTCTATAACATACATGTCGATTATCCAATTCCACACTTCAGCTACGTAACTCCCTGAAATTATCTAGGCATCGTCATCATTTTCATTCCAACGTGCTTGTCAGATTCAATCCTCCTGTCAAGTTCTCTCCAAACGTACGATAACTCGCCAGTATGTTCTAATGATGCCCAACAACAGACACCAATGCATTACAAACACCCAAACTTACTTGCACCGGTGGATTCTGGGGTCATCAAAACTTTGACAAACGTTTTGGCAAACCAGATCAGTGCCGGCACTCTAGATGAGGGTGCCACTCGTGGCCAGAGTCTGTATATATACCCCTCTTGGACGAAAATGGCACTTGGTGATGATCATACTAAGTCGTAAGAACGTTTGTGGAAGCTTCAAGAAAATTAGACAAAGTTGGAATCAACATCAGGAAAGAAGCACAAGTTAGGGCTAGAGCGATTGTGTTGATGTAGACTTTATAACGAAGTAGGAAGATGTAAGGAAGTATGTCAAAACTTTAGAGTTACCAGATAATCTTGATAAGTTCTTCTCGGAGAGGGCGATTGTGAAAAGGGCAGGGTGCAGGGTGCATGGGAAAGCAATTTCTCTATCCAGAGACGAAAGAAACGCGACGTACGTGAAATTCGTGATATACAAAGAAAGAGTCCAACTGGATACCATAGTGGAGCGAGATTCTCTGTATTTGGTCTCACGAAGAATAACTATCTTGGGAGATATGTCGAGATGCATACTATTGGTACAAGAGGGTAATGTTGATGTACGATTAATGCTATACTAGAACCCCTTTATTCAACTAGCCTCGTATGGGCTGGTAACCCATCCTCCCAGCTGCCCATGCTTTACCAGACTTGGCGGCAAACGCGGTGTATAATAACCCGCCGATGACGAGGAGATCCAAACAACATGAAATCGTGCACAAGTAGAAGGAGGTGCCTTCACAGACAGTAAGATGGTTATGAAGGTATGAAGACAGCCAACTTACTTAGTTTGCCTTTTCCAAGAAGTTGGTCAGAAGTCCGGTATAGATAAACAATGATTGCTGTTGTTACTATCTGTAGAGCTCCTAAAAATGCGGGCATGTAAGAAAAAACCGAGCTTGTTTGTTTGCGGTGCGAACCGTGCAATCCACTCAAAGCAACAATGCCCTGCCAAGCAGTTCTGCGCCTGGCGCGAGTACTGAAGCCAGTCGTCACCAGTAGCAAAGCAACTAATGCAGCACCAGCAAACACAAGACCAAGTTGCGCAGAATATCCTGCAGTCTGCCTGAATGAAGTAAAGCAGTAAAAAATATTTTCCTGGATCTTTATATACTGTCACTCACCATAAGATACAGAAGTTATCGATTTCTGCCTGGCAATCACGACTCTTTTGGGTAGGAAATTCACGGCAATTATACTCGGAATATAGACGTCCACTAGGTCCATTGATTGTGACGCGTTCGCATCGCTAGTCGAACGAATGAAATAGCGAGGAATAAGTGGATGGTCAAAACTTCGTACAAGGTATAAACCCCATTTAATATTCTGCACTAGAGGAAAGTCCGGAGGTGACTGCACATAAACCCTATCCATAAACAATCAGAATATGACAGGAATTAATGGTATTCTACATACCACTCGGGGACCTCGAATGATGTAAATGACTGCCGGTTTTCTCTCAGCCTTCCCAACACGATTTTGACATATTATTGAATGTACATACCAGTACAAAGCTGATCAGAACACCAATAAAACCGATCAGATAGGGAATCTAAAAATATTGTGAGACAAGAAAGAGAGTGGGGATTGCTCCAAAGCTACCTTGCGCATTTCGAGATCGGAGAGCACTCTAGAGAATAACAAGTTAATTAGGCTCCAATGACGTCATGGGGGGAACCGAAGGTATCATATTGACAGTTAGGGCCCGTGTAGTGTATCTCAGGTAGTATAGTGGTTAGTATTCGCGCCTGTCATTATTGCGAACGCGCGAGACCGGGGTTCAATTCCCCGCCTGAGAGTATATTTTTCCCTCCTTCACTTTTAAGTATGGAGCCCACTAATCGAGCTGATAAATCATCATAAAGCTGGTGTAACTATAGCCACTAGGTTGAATACTAACCTACATATTTAAGATTGCTTGGCGTGTGTACATATTATATCGTAGCCCAGCAAGTGTCATTTTACTTTCAAAATTAAACATTTGGTTGGTGTCAAAGTCCAAGCCCACCCGACGGACGTCAAACACGAGTAGTGGATCATATAGTACAAAATCATCTGGCAATCTCAAGTCTTAAACCGGATTAGAAGATAAACGATGCAAATGTGTAACCACTAGTGGCATGAAATCCTGATTTTTTAAAGATATACGAAGTCTACCGACGGCCAACCACGTTAACACGTGAAGCCTTTCCACCTTTTTTCTTCGCCGCTTGCGAGAGCGGTAGATACGCATATGGATCCATACCGCCCTTTTTCATATCTCCTCCAGCGTTCTGATATAAGGGTCAGAAACGTACTCAATCATCCATGTAAAACAACGCTACCTTTGCTTTGAACTCGTGTCCAAGTTTAGGATCTTTCTTCCTTTTTTTGTTTGCTGTTGTTGCAGGCCTCGTCGCGTCTGCCATCTCCACATCGTCGTCTTCGTGGGCTTCATTGGCGTGTCGCCGTTTTTTAGTGTCCTTGTTGAACTTAATGCGACCATTCGGACCGCGTGTAAACCCATCAACAGAGGTCAATGTTTCTCGGTACGCTTCACCTGCGAGTTCATCACCAGCCGAAATTTCGATATCTTCGTCCTTTTCCTCGATAATCATACGACCTGTTGTCTCATCTAGTTTAAACGACGATGCGTCTCGACCAGGCTTGCGACGACGATTCTTCGAGCCACCTGTAAAAAATCATCTGCCTTAATTTCATATCTGTAAACAAATGAAGTAGCGTACTCGTCAATTTGTCAGCAGCGCCATGCAACAAATCCATGGGCTCGTCGTCGTCGACTCTTATTCGGACACCTTTTTCGTGTCGTGCGCCCCGACCTTTGCCAGTGGCATGATGTGACTGTGGATGATCGCCTGCATCATCATCGCTGTCGTCCTCGATTTCGCTCTCACTGCCGTACAAGACATCTTCGAATGCGTCGCCTGTCTTTTGTATCGCAGTCGCCTATGGGTGATTATGGATAAGAAGTAAAATAGGATTCATAAAGAGAAACGCACATCTTCACCATCCTCGTCATCCTCTCCATCTTTAACATTTTTGGCCTTCTTCCGCTTCGCACGGTCCTTACGCTTCTTGATATTGAGCAAGACTTTGCCTTTCTCCTTCTCATCTGCTTCGTGGCCAACGCAGCCATATACAGCCTCCCATCCAAATCTGCGAATCATGCGCTCGAAGATGTGGCGAACCTTCACCTTGAAGTGATTCTTATGATCTCCCGACCAATTCAGTAATGCTGGTACAAGCTGTTTGAGATGTGGCATGACCATTTCGACTGGGAGTGTGTGGACTGAGAGTTTGATGAACCCCAGAGCAGATTTGACAATTTCACGGTTGGCAGATCCGAGGAAGACGAGCATTGTTGAGAGGACCTCATCCAACATATCGGGCTGCAGGTCGTCTATAACCGGAGACGCAATAAGTCAACATGTTTGAACGAAAATGTCTGAACGCGCCTTTGAACTCGAATACAAGGCGAGAGATGGCCGTTATAGAGGCACTGATCATATGCGGCGTTGCACCAGCTAGACCTGCTGCCACCATCGTCATATACTCTTCGATTGTGGCCTCAACTTGATACGATCAATGAGAAGCATCCACTGGAGAAAAAGAGAGACTAAGACAAACGAACCTTCAGTAGCATTTTCATCATCTTCATCCATCCCGTCCATACGACTGCGTTTGACCACGCCGCCATCCTTCATCTTCTGTCCCAAGGCGACCACAAGGTCAAATGCGGCAGCTCGAGTGCGCTCAGCAGGTTCTTTCGTGGCTAAGACAGCTTCCGGAATTAAACTGGGGATAAGATGTAGAGATGTCGTGGGTAAAGACGGCAATAGTAATGACAGCAATGTAACACGGTCCTTTATGGCAACGAATATATCACCTATCGGAACTAAGGGTAAAAGAAGAATAACGCACTCGCTTTGCAGAGGCGCCAACGGTTTCTGCACTAGCAATTAATTCTGTCAATACTTTCTCCGCATCAAGAACGGAGGACAATTTTCCAGCTTGCACCAATTTTGATAATGTCCGGTAACACCGTTTTTGGACGCCGGCGTCCGCATTGCTGATGACAGCACGCGAGACACACAGTATCCATAGTTCTTCGCACTCTTTTTTAGGAAGGTATGGTAAGAGCAAAATTAAAAGATCCTGTGTCATTAGAGTTATATTTGAGCCTTCGGGCTTCTTGGGCTCTTTGGTGACCGGATTTGCGAGGTTTTGCTGGAACAGCGTGACCACTTTTTGGTACATTTTGACGACCTCCTATTGGCAAGACATAAATAATTGAAGAGGGGGTCAGGATGATGGCACCTACTTCATCACCAGCTATTTTGGCCCATGCCGAGATTACATCACCAACCATTCCCTTTGCGTCTTGACCGACACTGCCAAAAACGTTAAAGAGAACAGCAAACCAGCTCTCAGCCTGACTTCGTAGATGTTCTAGGTTTCTATTCGCATGTGAAACTGTTACGATGTCAGATGTGACCCAGAAGTTGGACTCTACGACGACTTTGAGGGCTTTCAGAATTGCTGGACGAAGATGGGGCTGATTATACAGTATTTGCGACAATAATTGTGCAAAGGTCGCATCAAATGTCTAAAATGTCAAGTAAGGAAATAGAACAGACATCATTTTTTTAAGTAGACAACGAACTTCCGGGAGATCTTGAGTAGCATGGCAATATCCAACCAGACCTGACCATATCTGACCTATGAGCACATCCCACATTTTTGCCTCGTTGTTGCGCTTCTCTCTTTCTGCCGTCTGCTGTAGGTCGAACATACGTTCTGACAGCGGCACAAAATAGTTTATAAAGTGTGACAGTGGGGAAGGATGAGGAATAGCCAGTAAAGGAAGGATATACGCATGAGGCTCCAATCCTGCAGTTCTGAGAATGGGGTATAAAGTATATTCCTATTCCAGCATGTTAAGTTGAAACTCGCGCACCTTTCTTCCGGTAATAGCCCAAGTGGCAGCACACGAAGAATGACTTCGGGGCCAAGCACACTCATCGCAGCTTTGATAACCTCATCAACAGATTCTTTATGTTCGAAACCCTTTTTGATGCGCAACTCGCCAGCTTTCTGTACTAAATCCAAGACTAGAAGCTCGGCAGCAGTAGGCCGTGGGCTAGAACTCTTGCTCGGGGGACGATGTCGAAGTGCATGTAGAAGAGATGCCACTACTGTGAGCAATTGAGGTACAGCACGTGCATACGGCAGAGCGTCGAGAGATGTCCTGGTGAGTCCAATGATTTTACCGACAGGCGACTTCGCCTTTTTCTGTTCTGCTTCTGTTACAGCAGCTTCTATCATAGAATTTGTGATAGACTTTGAAAGAAGGGCAGATAGAGCTTGAGCGGCGTTATTACGAACATTAATATCTGTAGATTCCAAGTATTCAAAAATGGATTTGAATATGACATCAAGTTGACTGGTGGAGCTTGAGGAAACAGGACCGGACGCAAATGCCGCACGAAGAAGATCTAACCATGCCGGTGTCTGAGCTACATCAGTTTTTAATGGGGAAGATGACAGTAAAGCTGCTATGAGAGGTGACAGGTCGGTTGATGGTGAATCATTAGTAACCAAGATAGCGAGAAGTGTATACGATGAGTGCGCCAAGTAGGGATTTCCTAGACGTGGAAGAGAGAGAACAACAGAGGTGATGGCAGGAAGATACTGGATAAAGAGTACATTTTAGTCCTACCACCGATATCGCGTGGCATATTCAAGAGAGGACGCTTACATCAGGTGGTAAATACGTCATTATGGGTTTGATAGCTGTAATGAGGTGGATTCCGGATTCTGGGGCATCGCTGCCAACAACCTTTTTGCCATGCTTTCCGAATGTCCCTGCACCCGAACTCACAGTAGTTAGGGCAGCAACCAACCATTCACCAACCCTTTCCCCATATGGATGGCGAAGTAATGGAGATGGTGGGTTTGCCAACACTTCACGAACGAGATCTGCTGCCTTTCTTCGCACTTTTGGACGAGGATCCAAAGTGAGATCCAAGATGAGGTTGAATGTCTGGCGAACCCCTGGGATATCGAGTTGTGAAGCATCGAGAGCTTGGATTATGGGGCTAAAAAGTGTCAGATGTGAACGTAATGCTGGGGCATGTGGTAATAGCGCAGGAAATAATGGCGTTAAAAGTGTGAGTAGGGTTGAGAGGTATGAGCGGATGACTGCAAGAGAAACATGTGGAGTAACGAGAGCAAGGAGATAGAGGATAGCGGGTATTCTGTCACCCTCCTCAAACGAAGGGTTGCTTTTGGATGATTCGAGGGTGGTAAGGAGTGCCGCGAAATAAGCCGTGGAGGTGTGCTCGGCACCTTGCTCAGTCAAAGTGGATTCCAACGCAATAAGCAGACTTGCTGGTGCTTTCTGGTGTGCGAGAGTAGAAGAAGTATGAGGCCGAATCTTGGATAGGGAAGCAGCAAGAGACATATTTGACTAATTTCTAGGATGCCAAAGACTACATTGAAATGACTTCTATTAGGTCTGAAAATAGCAATGGACTAAATTGACATACACCTCAATCAAATTAATAAACAGAACCAGACGAAAGTTCCAGGATGAGGCTCTCGAGGACGTCCGCGATCAGGCGGCAGTAATAGGAAATTTCACAACTTTTAGGCGCCCCTTCTCAACGGGTCCACATTATATATCGATTTCCAACTGCTCCTACCTCCACAACAGCGAGCTGACCGTGAGGAAAAATAGCCGTTTTTAGCTAAACTATTTACTGGATATATTTTCAAAATATTGACTATTTACTGCTTG